ATGTCCCCATGTCTCCAATGTCCCCCAATGTCCCCAACCCCCTCGATGTCCCCGGTGTCCCCAGGTGCCCACCATGGCAGCCACGGGGAACAGGTAGGGGTGGTTGCAGCACTTCTTGAGGTCCATCATGATGTTGAGCAGCGACACCTGGTTCCCCCCGCCCCGCGAGTTCAGGGCCTCGAAGTTCCGCGTCAGGATGTACTTGTAGTACTTCCTGCGGGGACAGCGGTGACACCGGCGGCTCCGGGGGACACCCACGGGGCGGGGGGGGGTGGCAGGGCTGGGGACAGTCCCCACAGAGAGCGGGGGACACGGGGCCTACTTCTGCATGGGGCTGAGCTCCACGCGCACGATGAGCTCGGTCTTGGCCGGCATGTTCTTGAAGACGTCGGCCTTGAGGCGCCGCAGCATGTGGGGACCCAGCAGGTCATGGAGCTTCTTGATCTGATCCTCCTTGGAGATGTCAGCAAACTCCTCCAGGAAACCCTCCAGGTTACTGGGGACACGGGGACAGGGTCAGCGTGGGGACACGGGGACAGGGTCAGCGTGGGGACACGGGGACACGGGGACACGGGGACACAGGAAACCCTCCAGGTTATTGGGGACAGGGGGACAGCGTCAGTGTGGGGACACGGGGACACAGGAAACCCTCCAGGTTACTGGGGACACGGGGACAGGGTCAGTGTGGGGACACGGGGACATGGAGGGACAGAAGAGGACAGGAGGGGATGGGATGTTACAGGAGCGGACAGGAGGTGACACAGGTGACACTGAGGTGACCCAGGTAACACACAGGTAACACACAGGTGACACAGGGGACACACAGGGGACACAGGTGACACAGGGGACACAGGGGACACACAGGTGACACACAGGTGACACACAGGTGACACAGGGGACACACAGGGGACACACTTGAAGCGCTCAGGTGTCAGGAAGTTGAGCAGGTGGAACAGCTCCTCCAGGTTGTTCTGCAGCGGGGTCCCCGTCAGCAGCAGCTTGTGCTCGATCTTGTACCCGTTCAGCACCCGGAAAAACTGCGGGGACACGGAGCTGGCACCCCAAAACACACCTGGGCACCCCAGAACACACTGGGGACACCCCGAAACACACCTGGGCAGCCCAGAACACACTGGGGACACCCCCTGCACACCCCAAAACACACCTGGGCAGCCCAAAAGCCAGCAGGGACACCCCCGACAGCCCCCTGGGCACCCTCAGACCCCAAAATCAGAGATCCCCATGATCCCCCCA